TATCAGAAGTACTCTAAGAATAAATATTAATCTGCCTCAGTAAAATGCTTGATCTTAAAAGGTAAAAATAAAATTTTCAGAAAAAGAAAAATGAAATAACTATAGAAATAATAATGTTAGAAAATCTTCTCAAGATCTACTTTTTCTTTAGATTTAGGATGGATAATTAATCATCTTAGCATTTTATTAAATTTACTCAATTGAAATGATTTAAAAATTTAAATATTGCCTATGATTAATAGTAACTACCAATTATTTTTCATATATTCTAATAATTTACTAAACATTGTTAAGTTTACTTTAAATTACTAATTGAATTTCAAAGTGTCCATATGAGTAAAATTCATTAAAGATGGGTTTTTGTAAGATTGAATGGAATAAAGGTTATATAGAAAATAGATCCGTTGTGTATTGAGTATTTATTTTATTTTAGAATTTCAGATAGGTTTAGTTTGTTAACACTATTGCATGCATTAGAGTAAAAATAAATATATAATTCATTTTATCAGTTTTTTTGTATGAGTTGATTTAATTGATCAGGTTTGTGATGTGAATTTATGTTGAAGACCTAGGTAGAAATCCTGTTTGTTGACTGTTCAATTTAGTCTTCAGATAATGTTCTTTGAAATAATAAAAGAAAATATAAGAAAAAAATTCTAGGTTTATTTTTTTCAAAAATAATAAGCTCAGAATTCATTTAGCAAAGCACATTGCCCTTACACGACAATCCTTTAATTAAGGTAGCTGTAAAAAGAATTTATCCATTAAAGATATAATTTATTTAGGTTTATCCTTATTATTGCTTATCTTGAAGCTTATATTATTCTATTTTTTTTGAAATATTTGGAAAAATGAAGAATACTAAAATTCATTATAAGACTTATATTATAATATTAAATAGAAAATTCTAGAATTAGTTTGATTTTGAATAGATAAAAATACTGTAAACAGTTTAAAATTTTAAGGGAATAAATGAAAAATTCAAATATAAGCATTGAAAAATTAGTAATAATTCTTAAAAGGGCCTGCTATTTTGATTGTGAAATGCTCTTAATATATTTAGCTATAAAAGAAATTTACATATAATTACTTGTTATTAATATAAATAAAATAATTAAGGTTTATGATTTTTTAAAGCACATATTAATTAAAGTCAGAAAAGAAACAAAAAGAGCAAAAGTAAATCTAACAATCAATTAAAAGAATTAAATAAATGATGTAATAATTTGTTCAAGCAGGAAAATAGTAATCAAATATTTTCAAATAAAAAGCTGCATTTAGATATTCATATTTGAAAGAGTTAGTAAGAAATTAAATTAATGATAGAAATGTATACAAAAGAGAATATAATTGAGATAATAATTCATATCGTTTTAAAAGAGGAAGGTTGTTTTATAAATTATAAAAATCATCTTAAACAAAGAACAAATAGAAAATAACTAAAAGTTAAAAAAATGTTCAACTGATAATTAAAATGCTTTAAATTTGAATATGTTATAACTATTTTAAAATAGTTAAAGATATGTTGATTACATAATTGAATAATTGGAGAAAATTGATAAAAATGATTTGATTCAAAATATTTTAGTAAGAACATTCTTAAAATGTAATTAGGAAATTGAAAAAAATCATGAAAATTCCTCAGAATTAGTAAATATTGGGATAATTTGGTCGAAACTAAAATAATATTATGATAATGCAATTTAAAAAAATATTGAAGATTTTAGAGCATTTTTTAATAAAGGTAAATTTGAATAAATAGAAAAATAAAGCAAATGTATTCTTAAGGAAAAACAGATTTGAAGAAGCATTGTTGAATTATGATAAAGCAATTTAAATAAATCCTGAATATGATGAAACATATATAAATAAAGGTAAATTTTAATTAATATTAAAATAAAGCAAGTGCATTAGAAAGCTTAAACAGATTTGAAGAAGCATTATAATGTTGTGATAATGTAATTTAAAAAAATCCAGAAAATTTTAGGGTATTCGTTTAAAAAGGTAAATTTGAGTTAATATTAAGCAAATATACTATAAAATTTAAAGAGATTTGAAGAAGCATTATTAAATTATGATTATGCAATTTTAAAAAATCCTAAATATGCTTAAACATATTTAAATAAAGGTAAATTTGATTACTAAAAAGCAATTGCATTATAAAGCTTAAACAGATTTGAGGAAGCTTTATAATATTATGACTAAGCAATTTAATTAAATTCTGAAGATTTTAAAACATATTTTAATAAAGGTAAATTCGAATTAATATTAAAATAAAGCAAATGCATTATAAAGCTTAAACAGATTTGAGGAAGCTTTATAATATTATGATTAAGCAATTTAAAAAAATCCTGAAGATTTTTGGGCACATGTTAATAAAGGTAAATTTAAATTGTTAAAATAAAGCAAATGCATTCTTAAGATTAAACAGATTTGAAGAAGCAATATAAAATTATGATTATGCAATTTTAAAAAATCCTGAAGATTTTAATGGATATTTTAATAAAGGTAAATTTAAATTAATATTCAAATAAAGCAAGTGCATTATATGGCTTAAACAGATTTGAAGAAGCAATATAAAATTATGATTTGGCAATTTAACAAAATCCTGAAGATTTTAGGGCATTTTTTCATAAAGGTAAATTTGAATTAATATATATCAATTAAAGCAAACGCATTATACAGCTTAAACAGATTTGTAGAAGCATTAGAATATTATGATAATTCCTTGTAAATAAATCCTGAATATGCTGACACATATACAAAAAAAGGTAACTTTGAATTAATCTTTTATTAAAGCAATTACATTATAAAAATTAAACAGATATCTAGAAGCATTAAAATATTATGATTTAGCAATTGAAAAAAATTCTGAAGATGGTTTTATTTATAATAATAAAGGTAAATTTGATTAATAGTATAATAAAGCAAATGCATTAGAAAGCTTAAACAAATTGGAAGAAGCAATAAAATTATGTGATTACGTAATTTTAAACTGTCCAGAAAATTTTATGGCATTTTTTATTAAAGGTAAATTTGAGCTAAATTCTAATAAAGCATATGCATTAGAAAGCTTATATAGATTTGAAGAAGCACTAGAATATTATGATTATGCAATTTAAAAAAATTCTGAAGATTTTAGGGCATTTCTTCATAAAGGTAGATTTACATTTATAATTAAGCAAATACATTATAAAGTTTAAACAAATTTGAAGAAGCATTAAAATATTATGATTAAGCAATTTAAAAAAATCCTGAAGATGCTTTAATTTATAATAACAAGGGTAAATTTGAATTAATATAATAATAAAGCATAGGCATTAGAAAGCTTAAACAGATTTGAAGAAGCAATATAAAATTATGATTATTCAATTAAAAAAAATCCTGAAGATCCTCTTACATATTTTAATAAAGGTAAATTTTAAATAAATTAAATAAAGCAAATGCATTATAAAGCTTAAACAGATTTTAAGAAGCATTAGAATATTATGATTATGCAATTTAAAAAAATCCTGAAGACTTTAGGGCATTTCTTAATAAAGGTAGAATTAAATTTATATTAAGCAAATACATTATTAAGCTTAAACAGATTTGAAGAAGCAATATAAAATTATGATTATGCAATATAAAAAAATCCTGAAGATTTTATGGCGTTTCTTAATAAAGGTATATTTAAATTATTCAAATAAAGGAATTGCATTAAAAAGCTTAAACAGATTTGAAGAAGCATTAGAATACTATGATTATGCAATTTAAAAAAATCCTGAAGATTTTAAATCATTTTTCAATAAAGGTAACGTTAAATTAAGATTTAAAAAAAGCAATTGCATTGTAAAGCTTAAACAGATTTGAAGAAGCAATATAAAATTATGATTATGCAATTTAAAAAAATCCTGAAGATTTTAACGCCTATTTTAACAAAGGTAAATTTGAAGTAATATTAAAAATCAAGCAAATACATTATAAAGCTTAAAAAGATTTGAAGAATCATTAGAATTTTATGATTATGCAATTTAAATTAATCCTAAATATTCTGAAACATATATAAATAGAGGTAAATTTGAATAAATTAAAATAAAGGAATTTCGTTATAAAACTTAAACAGATTTGAATAATCACTATAATATTGCGATTTTGCAATTTAAAAAAATCCCAAAAATGTTAGGGCATATTTTAATAAAGGTAAACTTATATTTAAATCAAGCAATTGCATTATAAAGCTTAAACAGATTTGAAGAAGCATTAAAATATTATGATTATGCAACTTAATTAAACCCTGCTAATGCTCATATATATATTCAGAAAGGTAAATTGATTACATATTTAGCAAATACATTAAAAAAATTAAATCGATTCAAAGAAGCTTTCTAATTATTTTAAGAGACTAAAACCAAATATTTAAAAAGTTGAGGTGAATGCTTATTAAATATAACGTACATTCAAAAATTTTTAAATCTCTTAAAGTTTTCTCTTCAACTCTTGGGTTTGTCGAACTCCCCTTAACACTCTCTATTTCTGTGATAGCGAAGGGAATGTATTTCTGAGGTTGGCCATTATAATTGATTGTTTCAGCAGTCACAAAAAATTGAAAAAAATGGGATTATATTGATTTTATGTGTGATGAGTTTGGGTTTGCCCGCTAGTATTGAACTTTCAGTAGTCACATGGTGTTGAATTTTCTAAGCATGATGTTGAATCTGCTTAACTATTTACATAGCAAATGGTTTTGGATATCTATTGCTTTTAATATTAAAATTATACAGATTCTATCTCCTTTTAGAAGGTGATAGCCCTATTGTCTTCTGGTAGTCTTGTTCTCAATTTTACACAATTCATTTCCAACTCCCCATCCACCTGTACAAAACTCTAAATTTTTATAACATTACTCTGATTAATAAGATTAATAGTTTGGTCTCCAATTACCTTTTGCAGTTATATTCTTAAATTTTAATTTATCGAAAATAAAGCATTTTATACTATCATAAGTAACAGAATAATATCCTTAATTTGATTTACAAATCTAACATCCATTATCTACATAGAATTCTCCAAGTTAACATTTAAAACTATTTGCATTAATTAAATATTTCAATGTTTTATTTGATATACCTGAATTAAAATTTAATAAAATTTATAGATTATTTTATCCTTAATTATATGGATCCAAACTAAAAGATAATCGTCCAATATCAAAATTTTTTGTTATGAATTAAATTATAATCTTTAATTTCTATTTGAACTTATCTCCTTATTTGAAGTATTTGATACAATCTTTTCAACTACTATACATGATGAGTCTTTTTGATCTAATAAAACTTCATTATAACTACTCTTAAAAAATAGATACATTTATTTTATATATGTAATGTATTATTTTCATTTAACATAAAATAAGGTATAATTGTAAATTTCTGAATTACTTGGAATCATTAAATTATTAGCTATTCTTAGAACACTCTATTCTATTATTGTATAAGGTTATAAATTCAATAAATTTAATTCTTTATTATTCTAAATTAATTTTACTGATGGTAACTCGTAATCATTTATTTATAAATGAGTTGGTTATCCCATAAACCTCGGCAACATTATAAATTATTGTTGAATATATGATATTTTCTTTATTCAAATTACTATCATCAGCTAAATATATTTCTCCTCCTGCCTAAGCTCTATTATAATCCTCCTCTTTCTTCATTAGCAGTATTAGAAATTATCTTTACTTTTCAAATTACTAAAGGGACTTTTGAAACTCTGACTCTTTTGCTTCCCATATTTTTTATAAAATTTGAATTTTTAATTTTAATCCTAGATTAGATATTTAATTTTGATTAAAAATTTAAACATCCATAATTTATATTATATTGTAATTACAATTTAATTTTTAAATTGACAATTTAGCAAACCTTGAAATTTCAAAGAATCTAATTCCACTTAAACAAGAAGTACAATTATTGAATTGCACTTATCTGAAATTAAAATTAAGTTCATTTAAATTATAATATAGAATTTGTTTAATATTGTGAAGATAATTGTAGTTAAATGATATTCTCTTTTAAATAATTATTTTATTCCTGTACGGTTTCCAACTATTTATTTAAATTGCACCCTATAATAGAATAATTATCATTCTATTCTTGAATAATTTAGTCTAAATTCATTTCCAATATACTAACTCTTAAAATACGAATTTAACTATATGAAATTACTTATAAATATTATCGATCTTACAATTATAAAATGTTAATTTAGGATTATTTATAAATTGTATCAAAGGTCCAAAGGAAATTCCTTCAAAAATTAATCCATTTATGTGAGAAACACAATTTTCTAATAAATTAAAGCGTTATTGGTTCCAGTTATTGTTAAGACCTCATTTGAAGTTAGAGTTTTGACTGACTAAAAGAAATTAATAACAGTAACTAAATTTTAAATAATTTTAATATTTTAAAAGGTTATCTAATTTAAATCTACTATTTCTTAATAGAATTAAGAATTTATGATTTAGTTAAGTAAGGAAAAGCAATCTTCTATAATAACGTTTTTTAATAATAATATATTAAAAATTAAAGATGGAGAAAATGTCATTATTGATGATGTTATCCTATTTTAAACTTTAATAAAATCTATATTAATTAAAGAAAGATTCTATGAGCTAGTTTAAGTATTGATATTTATACAGCCTGAATTTGTTGATTTTGATATTAAACAAGTATAAGTTTATTTTATTGAAACATTTACTAATTATATAATTCCCTAACCAAATGTTATGATATCTAATATTTAATTTTTTGAAGCAAATATTTAATTAAATTTAAAATTTATGCAATGAATATAGGAAGCTGATATTTAAAAGGATCCTAGTTTAATTTAGAAAACTTAAGAAATAAAATAGTTGATTTTGTCTTAATTAAATTCAATATCAGTAGCAATATTATAATTTTATTACCATAAATTTAGAGGTAAAATATTGACCAGGAAATGATGAAATATAGCATCTATTTCAATTTCTTATATCTTAGAATTCACTACTTTGGAACTACCTCCAAAAGTCAAAGTAATTTTATCATAAAAAAATGGATATTCAATCTATAATTACTTTCTTATTATTATCTCATCACTTTTAGCTATTATTAATTCTAATATGTTAAGACTTGGCATTCATAAATTTATAAAAAATACCAAATATTTCATATTCGAACTTCTCAATACTTATCCCATATTTATACTCAATATTATTATTGCTAATAAATTATCTTAGTTATAAATTGCTATTTATAATCTATAAAATCGTAATATTTTAAATTCAAGCTTTATTTTTCAAAATCTACAGCATTGTGAAGCTAATAAAAATTACTATCCACCATCCCATAAAGCCCACTATATTCTATAATACTTAATGGATTATATTTGGACCAAATACCATAAGTGAAGCAATCTTTAATTGAATAGCTTCCATCACTAATTTATATAATATTCCATAAAATCTAATTCTTTTCATTCAATCTTATAATGCCATATGCTTCGTTAGTTAAAAAAAACCAAATGATTATTAAAATCATATATTTAAATATTAATTGCTAATTTAAAAGATCAATTCTGATTTTAAGAAGTATTAATATTAAAATCGATTAAATAAAGCTTTAATTAAAATAATATATGTATTAAACTTAAAATTTTATAATAGAAGGAATTCAAATTAAATTTCATCGATTCAATTTAAAGCAACTAAATACGGTTTTTTCATTTAATTCAGTTTAATAATTATTAAGATATTTAAATTAACTAGATTAGTTATATCAAGGTATATATAAATGATCTAAGTAATTTATATAAAAAAAATCTTAATGATAAGGGTATATAATTTCAAATATCTATCACTTAGAATTTAATAAACTAATTGTATAAAAGAAGTACTCATATACAAAAATATATCAATTTAAAAGATTATAGAATCCTTAAAACAAATAAGATTATAATTTATTACATCATATATTACTAAGTCTATTTTATTAGCCTCTATCTTCTTCAATATGGCATCAAATATTTAGAATACGAAGAAGGCATAATTCTTTTAAAATTTAGTTTTTTTATTACCATAAAATTAGATTGTTTCTAAGGCATAATATTAATAAAATTGAAGAAATTATTCAGGAAATATAATAAAGAGCAAAAATAATCAAATAACATAATAATAATATTTTACTAGATCAATGAAATGAACATTTCTTAAAGAATACTATATAAAATTTAAGTAATTTAATAATAACAACCCATTATTAGAAAGATTGAAATTGATTCAAATTAATTTTATGGTTGAGTGAAGATTAAGTTTTGTGCCATGTTTTTAGTAATTGAAGTCAATCGAATTAGACATACAAAAATATATGTATAATATATAATCCAAAATCATAATATTCTAAATTATTAGTTTGAAGTTTTAAGCTGAGAATCACATGAGCCAATAACTTACTTTTTTTAATAATTCAATTTTATCTGCCTTTGTTCATACCTTATCTGAAAAATATACCCTCCTCTAAATTAATTTTATTCTTTCCCTTTTGTTTATCAAATTCTCCTGTACCTAAAAATTCATCAAATTCAAAAAGTTCTTTAATGTAAAATTCCATTTATCACATCTAAAAATCTATTGATTTAATTTAACAATTAAATAAAATCTTGATTATTGAAAAAGAGATCAAATTGCAGTAGAATATAAAGTTCTTTATTTGAATAGTATAAATATAAGTATACTAAATTAAAAGTAATGTTATTAAATTCTTAGATTATTGAATAGAATTTTATCATATCATTTTTAGACTAAAGGACTCCTCTTGATAATAAAGAATTTATGTAATTTTGAATATCAAAAGTACAGAAAGCCGATTTCAAAAAATTGTCTGTATTAAATGATTACTGTAAAATAATCTTCTAAATTTTTGAATACACCTGAGCTACTTATTACTTAATTTAAATTTTTATTCACAATTAAGATGAATTTGGCAACTAAATAAGAAGCTAAACTTTTACATAATCAAATTAGCTGAAGGATTTTAAAAAATACGATTTTAACACAATGTTATTAAAATTTAAAATGGAGATTGATTAAGATTCTTACTATTTTTAATAGGGTAAACTGCTAATCAAATAGGCATACATTGAACTACCTCAAGTAGATATTTATGATTGATGTAGTTAATTATTAATAAAATTCAATATTCTGAATATGAGCCCAATTTTATATGTATAGACAAAAATTAGATAGCAGATATAATTTTGAAAATGAATAATAAGTTAATAAGAGCTATTGATATTCATTCATAAAATAAATTAATGGAATACTTCAAAAAGGATGTAGACTTTTACTTAAAAAATTTCAAAGAAATATTGAGGGATAAGATAAAGTTACCAAAGTTATCTTTCTTTACATATGGGCTTAAGTAATATGTTAGTACATTAATGTTAAATTTTTTAATGAGTTAAACCTTATTTGATTAAGCTAACCAAAATAAAAATAAAATTAAAATTTATGTGATTAACAATTTCAATTAAATAAATACTTGCATAGTTCTTGATTAGATAAGAGTATAGATAACGCACATCTTTATAACACTTCCAAGTCTATTATTAGTTATCAGATGACCACAAGTTTATTATTTAATGGATAATTTCAGATAAGAATATATAGGAGATGAATGTAATATATCGGAGAAATAATGAAAATACCAACCCTTTTCAATAGGCAAAAAGCTTCTAACCCAAATTTTTGTTAGTTATGTCATCCCTAATGAGAAAATTATAATCAATCTGTTAAAAATTAATAATGTTATTAATAATAAAAATTGGCTTTTGATTTAGTATTTTCTTCTCTACAAAGAGAATTTATATTAAGATATGTACTAAAAAAACAACTAAAAATTATCAAAGTATTCTCATAATTTTAATTAAAATTTAGGAAGTTTAATTGAAAATTAATTTAAGATTTATTAATAATAAATTAGTAACTAATATAAATAAAAGATCTATGTCATCTTTTATGAATTACTTATTACCATCTTGACCTTTTATTAAAATATTTTCTTAATTCTAAACCAAATGTTAACATGCTCATCCAATATTTAAATTAATGCAATATATCTTAATAGAATCTGAAACTCATTAAATAGCGAAAAATTTTCACAGTAAGGAGATATTGATACTATATAAGGAAAGAAAGTAGTTTATAATAAATATGCATATAAATAAGTTGAAGATTTATTAGATGTGTGAAAGTTTACTCTTGATATTATCCATTTTTGAAGAAATGTATAAATTTTATGATCTATGATCTCTAATATCAATACTTACGTATTGACCAGTTTATAATATATACAAGAGATAGAAAAAATTATTTTAGAATAAGTCTTCATAATTATGACATTCATTAAATTTTGAATAATCTCCCTGGATATTCCACAATCTCTTTTATTAAATAATATTGTATTATTGGGAATATGAAGAAAGAATTGGAAATAATTTACTATATTGATATTTTTATATTAAAAATTATAAATAATGATTTATTATTCTAATTAGTGAATTTTAGTTGTCTAAAAAAGGATTAGTATGTTGGCTAACTATTCAATATCTATAAAAAGAATATTGATTAAATTAGGCCCTCTAGTTTAAAAATTTCAATACTTTTTAACTTGAGTATTAAATTCTGTAGATTTATTTATATGTTATATATATATTATATATATATATATTAATTACTAATACTAAAAATATAGTTTTTTATTCAATCTATATTATTTTTTTAATGTTAAAATACATTAAAAAGTAATATTTCTTATTAGTATTGCAGGTCTTGTTAAGGAAAAACAGAATAATCTTATGGTATAAATCCCAAAAAAGTATTTTATTTTAATAACATTTAGGAAATAGGGTTACACATGGAAATGTCATCAAAGTATAAGAGATAAGAATGGAGATGTAGTTTTGAAAATTGAGAAAAATGAATAGGAATTTCATAAAAGTATGGGAATGATAATAATAATTACCTTATAGTAGTCAATTATTATTGTGAAAAAATTCTTTGTAACAATAATAACTATTGCGAAATAGTTATATAACCGAAA